CCTTGCTGAGCAGAAGAGACTCTTTCAGAAGCATGAAAGCATCATGAACTCTTGAGCTGTACTGGACCTCGGCAGGTTTGCTGCAGATCATCACCTTCTTGTGTAGTTTCTGGATGCGGTTGATGACCTCGCGGGCCACACCTTCATCCACCGTGGACTGATCCGTGGTGACGTCGAGAAGAACCAGCACCTGTGGGAACAGACACGGCCGTTCAGATCAGGTCACTGCAGGAGCACGTGGACTGAGACTGAGAGAGAGCAGAGCGCGCACCTGAGCGTCTGAGTGCGCCTCATACTGCGACGGCGTTCCTGAGGTCCGATCGAAGCTGTACATCAGACGCAGGTCGTCCTCATGCAGCTTGTGACCGTCCACAGTCGGTCTACAGACCCTGCAGAGGAGACACCTGAGATTAGACGGACTCACACACAGGACCAGACAGCGGCTCTCAACCTCTCCCACTCCAAAGATATTTCTGATACTTCTGCCACACACAGACACACACACACATACACACACACACAGGCACTCACTCTCACACTCTCTCTCTCACACTGTCACACACTCACACACACACACACACACACACACACACACAGACACTCACAGACAGACAGACACACAGACACTCACACTCACACACACAGACACGCACACAGACAAACACTCTCTCTCACACACTCTCACACACACTCTCACACACAGACTCACAGACAGACACTCACACTCACACACAGAGACTCACACACACACTCTCACACTCACTCACTCACACACACTCTCACACACTGTATATACATATACAGGGAGAACTTGGTGGCTGACTAAATACTTTTTTTCCCCACTGTATATGTATGTTTGTGTGTGAGTGTGTATATATATATATATATATATACTACATACTTTAGGGCTTGGTTTTGACACAAATTTCACAATTCAGTTCAATTTTAATGCAAATCGATTAGACTCGGATTCAATATGGGTTATTTTGGATATATATCAGGTACAGGACATGACACATTTTCTCAAGGAAAAAAAAAAACCTCACCTAATGCTGTAAAATATACATGTGAGTCAGTTGGTACTGCATTACTATAATATTGAAGGTTAAAATTAACTGAGTTGTATACAAACAGTTAGATTACACACTCAAAAGTTTTTATAATAATAAAGTTATAATACTAACTTACATATTGCAATTACATAATTATATTTCTACTCCAATCTGTTTTTTGAAATATAAACATTTAAATGGTGGTTGTCACAAAAACTTGACGGATTTATTCAACAAATAAATACTGAAGAACAGTAAAAATGATAATGAATATGTTATATGGTGCATATTTATCAAAATGCTCCTCTCTAGAGTTTATTTTTCTAGCTGACTAATGAGTTCATGGACACCGAATGTGTTTTTCTGCAGTAAATGTGGCATTATGTGACATTGTTTACAAGCTGTAATATTGACTCTTTGCGTGATTACATGAGACAGGAGACGGGTTTCGGTAAGCTGTACTCTT